AAAAAAAAAAAAAAACTTTAGTAGACTGAACAGTTACTTATTTAGTAGATAGTTTGGTGTTTAATTAGACTCTTAGTTAATGGTTAAATTAGGCTCATTTAAAAAAAATAAAAAAAAAAAATATGTGAAATAAAAATTTAAAATTGGACCACTCCTCACTCCAATAGGGAAGAAAGAAACTCTCATTCCCGCGAACGACAAAGCCTTTCCTCACTCATGCCCTGCCATCGCCTCAGCTAATAAAAACGGAACCGACCTGGAACCTCTCCGACATACTACCCTGCCCATCACCTTTACCTTCTTAGTGGATTTCTCTCTGACACCGGCAATCGACATCATAAACTTAGGTGAGTAAGTACTAAAATAGTGAAATTATTTTTCTTTTCCTGCAGCCGCGAGAGATGATGAGCTTAAGTACCGAATCAACGTTACCTTCCAAATGTACAATTTTTTATATTGGTGTTTGTCCTAATTTTTTATATTGGTGTTTGCCCTAATTTTTTTTTTTATTTTGGATGAATGAATGGTGGATGTTGGGACATGTTTTTACTTGTTTACTGCTGTTGCTAAGAGTATGAAAAGTGGGAAGGAACATGATGTGAATAATGAACATGCAGCTGGGAGCCTGAGAAGTGTAAATTGTTGTTGGGCTTTTTTTTTCAGTTTTTTCGTTTCAAAACCAAAACCAAATCGAGTTTTCAGTAACTGAAAAATATCAGTTAAATATCAGTTCGTGCTTATCAGTTTGGTTATCGAACCGATACCAACCCTAGTTATACTGTTGTTGCACGATTCTTCATCATCACCACCTTATCTCATCATCTTAGCCACCTGACGCTCATGACGGGATGTAGCACCCTCTAAATTTGCCTTAAACTAATATCTCTCATATGTAAGGACCGTCAACTCCTCGAAAGTTTTATTATAATCATATTTCATGGATTCTAGTTCTTCAGCCAACACTTTCAGACATTCCTCACAATGTACGTGATCGGCCATGATAACTCGTAACTGTAAGGACAACTCTTGTGATTTGTTGATCCCGTGCATGATCTACCGAGGGTCACTGCCATATGCATCGTCGTTCATTGTATCTTCTAAGAAGGGTGCATGCTCGGGACACATGCTCGGGACCTTTATCCACAAATCCAGTTTCCACACTATCATTAGAATACACGTCACATGCAACACATGTTCCAACTTACCATGGGGATTCGAGATCTACAGAGCCATTGTGCCAACAAAGTTGCAGTATCAATTAGGCCAAAAACCCTCAAAGTTACGTGCAACTCTTTCTTATGTGGGATTGCCAGGCAAGTAATCAACATATGGTGCTTGAGAAGCATATCGATCGGCCTCACCTCTATGAGGCAGCTCAGATTGGTGGGGGTGGGGACACTCGTTCGATCTCCACCCTCTCGAACATGCTTTGGTGGGATCAGCTCTACCTATGGGCCGACTAGGTTCAAATGATTCTCTTTCTTCCCAATGTATCCGACGATTACCTCTTATATGAGTTGCTTTTTTCGTCTTTGCGGTTGCATAAGTTGTTCATCTATTTATAACTTCCTATTCAATAATTGGCGGAGTTGAAGGACAACCATGAGGGGGAGACTCTATCCTCGACCATTTATATGCCACTACAGTCTCCCTGAATGGACCCGATGATATGCACCTCATTACCTCTGCGATTGATGCAGCGCCTTGCGCCGTTGATTCTTTTCTCTTTTTCTTCTGTAACTTGTTGATCCTTTCCATGATTTCTGCTTATGGGATGGGAAAACAAAGATTCATGTACAAGTTAAAACACTGCAGATCGATATAAAATTATGAAGACTAACGCAATTGGATTATAAAAAACCGTCATCTAACATAATCAAAGGGTTACGTGGTTCAATACGGGTATCATTAGACCTTGAGAGCAATCCCTCGACCAAGTTCTCGTTCTAGGATAGAGTTCGACAATATCTCTAAAGGATCATCAAACCTAGGGTAATTTTCAATCTTCTCTTAGATTTTAGACCCAAGTGTGGCACAATATTCTCCGTTGCATTCAATACGAAAAAAATATCAAAATCGGATTATTCTGAAAATTCTAAGAGAGATCAACAAAAACTTACGCATTTTCTCTACAAAATCCTTCGGCACATGCATACTGTTTGGCGATCGATGAGTTTTCTATCCTCCAGACAACCAAAACCCCTCATGTTTCCACTTATGACGAGATTTGGGTATCTCTTTTACTAGATTGTCGTATTTATCATCACGTGGAGCCAAATAAAAATATCGCAACACTGTCTCATACGTCTTCCATTTATAATGA